CCTCTTCCAAGTGGAGTACGCCCAGGAGGCGGTGAAGAAGGGCTCCACCGCCGTGAGTGCCCCCCCTGCCTGCCCCAGCGCCTGGCTATGCTCTGCGAGACCCAGCTCCTGCCCTGGGGCTGAAGGGGAGCTGGCCCTGCGTGTTCCCGCACCCGGGCTGGGTGACCACCTGCCCCCTCAGGCCAGCCCGGATCCCTCCTGGCGGTGGCAGCTACTGCTCCTCCACCTGTGTTGACGCACCAGCCTGGGATGCCCCGCTGAGGCACAGGCTTCAGCAGAGCTGACTTTGAGCCTTGTCCCATCTACTGAAAAGAGAAGGGGAAGTGCCTCACGCAAGGACCCAGGGGAAGGGAGGGTGCCTCACACAAGGGCCTTCCTTCAGGAGGTTGCCATATGGCCTCACTGGTGAGGTCACGGAGATGGGGACCTGTAGATAAGGCCAAGGAAGTCATTTGCCAGGAGCCCAAGCCTTCCCCATACATCTGAGGTAGCAGACCTCAGGCGAGGCACCTCAGCTGTGAAATGGGCAAGCGTGGCCTGTAGAGAGACACTGGGCTCCCTCTCGATTTGTAACGTGGCACCCAAATCCAGGCTTGGCTAATGACAGCGTTGGGAGGAGAGCCTCTCTGCCTACTTCGTGGCGGCCCAGTGGGAAGTGCTGTATGCTTTCAGGGCTAAATGTAGTCACCCAGAAAGGGCGCAGAGGGATCCGGCATTAAAAGAAACACGCCGGATAGACAAATTGACTTGACTTATGGTCTGAACATTGTCACCGGTATCGGGGTGGAAGATTTCATGCTAGACCCTGTGTTTCTCAGACACTCCCCACGCATCGAAAGGACAACTGTGGGACATGTAGGACCATATGAGCCACACTGGAAGCACTAGGCAAAAAGGATTAATGACAATTTACTGACAAAATGAACAGCTGTGAGAAGAAACTTGAGCTAATATTTAGCATTCACTTTGTCGTAAAGCAACTTCAATATTCTCTGCCAACGTCCCTATTTAGGTGCTTCTTGCATGAAATGTTAACGTTTGGCAGTAATACGGCAGTTTTATTTGGCAGTTCTAGTTGTGGTGTTTTGTCGCTGTCAGTCTGTCTTGGACTTCTGTGTAAAACAATGTTAGCTCTTCAAATTCAGCCTAAAAGTCAAAGTGGGTCCTTCTGGGTATCGTGTCATCCCCAGTAATGAAAATTTAGCTTGATCAGTGTATTTATTGATGTGGATGGTGAGTCAGACTAATCTTCAGGTCACTCTTGCACCTGTACTGCCTCTGTCTTCACTTGGAGAATTAAGTAAAGGAGCATTCAGTTGTCTATAGAAGTGGCTCCTGACCTGGCATGTATACCACCATTGGTACGCAGACAATATCAGTGGTACATGTTAACAGATTTATTATAGTTACTTTATATGACAAAAATTTGCTGGTGGTACTTAAGGTTATATTATTTTAAATTGGTGGTACGCAATGTGTCAGAGTTTGGGAACCGCTGATCTATAGTAGAA